GTATTATGACGTTATTGTTATATAATACATTTCAAAAGTGTTTTATTAAAAATTATTTTTTAAGAATTTATTGAATCATTTTTGTAATAAAAAATAATAATATTCTTGATCAATGTTCCAATAGTTATATCGGTAATATATATTTATATTATCAATAAATAAAATAAATTATGAACATATATTATTTTATAATCACTTCAAAATATTAAAAAAAAATCTTTTAATAAAGAGCAAAGACATTGTGACCTTATATTAAGCAAAATACAAGTATAATATATTATGTGGGTCCCCTAAGGTCAAAGCATGCTGCGAATGTTAATTAATTACCAAGTAGATAGGTCTTCCTAGTGTATTGTTTCGTTCAAAAAAGCATGCCCTATGTGTCCTTTCCACATGCAACCCAACATACCTCCCTCTTAGTTTCATTTGAATGTGTTTATATTAACATCAATAGAGCGATTTTAATAATAAAATAATTATTGTTATTTTTTAAAATTTTAAGTTCGAGCACTAAGAATGTTAAGGGTGTGAGCGTTTAATATTAAATGATTGAGATTTATTTTTAAACATATATTGTCTTATACTTATCTCATATTAATAAAAAAATGTGTTCATATTATTAAAAAAATGTGTTCATATTATTAAAAAAAAGTGTGTTCATATACATGCTAATGTACAACAAGGACCGATGATCAAAATTTTCAAAAGCAATAAATAAATAAATAATCAATAAATAAAAGAAAAAGCACATATTTTAGGTCATAAAAGCTGAGAAAGATTGCGCAACGTATCATTATAATTTTGCTTAGCACATGGCTGGAACTATATGAAATTCTATTTTCTAAAAAGGCTCAGTTGCATTAGTCTTAGGGCAACATGACCTTTTCTACGTGTTTAGAGGTCTATAATTATCTTTTTGTAGATTGTGTTGTATTTTCTGTCAAAAGGAAAAGGTATATACATGTGGATAGTAATGGCAACGGGTGGGTTAGGATCGGGTTTTTGGTTAATCTGACTTAATCCGAAAATATATATTTTTTATCGAATCCTACCTGACTTAAAATTTTAGAGTATAAATTTGATCTGACCTTGATTCGATTTAATAAAAAATAAGAATTTAATTAAATAATAATATATTTTTAAAAAAATTACATTATTATTCTCAGATTAGGTCAGGTTGAAGTTTTTTCACCCTTTATCCAACCCGACCTGATCCGATCCAATCTCACCCCTTAAAAAAATGAGACTCAACCCAAACTAATTTTGTTTTATAAAAAATCTAATACTATTAAGTCAGAATCCGTTAAATTTAGATTAAATTATAATCTTTACATGTGGAAATGATGGAACTGACATTTGAATGATACTTAGATTGCGATCATATGTTAGCCTATCATTTTGATACGGTTCTGCAGCTTTTTCTAATGAAGATATACGCAGAGTCACTCATGTTCGTAAATACAAACATTAGTGACGGACCCAAAATTTATAAAAAAAATTATAAAATTTTAAGAATAAAAATAAATTATTAATAAAAAGTTATATATATATTTTTAAAATTTCATAAGACTATCCATCCCCTTATCTATCCCTGGTCTCATGTGAGAATCTTTGAAGAGAGATGTTATAGTCTCAATTCTTGCAAAACTTTCGAGATAATGTTCTGAAAGAAATTAATTCACGAGCTAATGTACTCTCAAGATTAATTGCTCAAATAGGGTGAAATCCACAGTGTTGGCCGTAGGTCGCCATGCACTCCGGGCGACCTACCCTTGCTCAAACAGAGAGAATGAACATGAGAATGAACATGTTGCATGGCACATGCACGTCCCAACACATAGGTCGCCATGCCTTCCGGGCCTTCCGGGCGACCTTGTAGGTCGCCATGCACTCCGGGCGACCTACCCTCGCTCGGCTCGCTCGGTTGCCCTCGGATGCCCTCGCATAGCTCGTTCGGATGGCCTTGGTCGGATGGCCTCGGATGCTCTCGGATGGCCTCGGATGCTCTCGGATGGCCTCGGATGCTCTCGGATGACCTCGGTCGGATGGCCTCGGATACCCAGCGTGTTGGGACGTGCATGGCACATGCAATCTCTTGTAGCTCGTCGGGAAGACATGACGACCTACGGCCAACTGTGGATTTCACTTTATTTGAGCAATTAATCTTGAGAGTGCTTTATCTCGTAAATTAATTTTTTCCAGAACATTATCTCGAAAGTTTTGCCCTCAATTCTTATGATATGAAGTCAATGAAAATTCGGTTCAAAGTTGATTCAATGATGGGAATTATATTAAGACGGTGATGAGCCCATGATTGCACCTCCTGCAGGAGAAATCATATCAGAATGTTCAACCTGATGGTCCAAAGGACATGATTGAACTCCAAGTAGATGAATGATGAGATGAGCTGAATGGTCTCTAATCGAACCCATGATTACAGGTCAACCTATATGATTGATATCTTAGGCCATATGGTGCGGACAACAGGAACAGAGATTTAGTTCTCAAAACATCACAAATATTGGAAAAGTGACTTTTGTATTGAGTGATTCATAATGAAGGGCAACTGTGCTGATGAAAGCTTATGAGGGTGTCCAATCAGAAGCAAGGCCCCACACTAGGATCATTATGCTAGCATGGGAGAGAGTGTTCTTTGCTCACTCATAATCTTGGATTACAAAAAACTATGGATTCATTTGAAAATTTCTCCTCTATTTAAACACAAATGCAAATGGGTGATGAACACGCCCCAAGTATTATTGCTCTCTTCCATTCCCAAGACCAAGATTTTTCTCTCTTTCTATACATCTAATCAACAAAAAGAGAGAGAAAGGTTGTCCTTTAAAGTCCCAGATAGACAAACACCGAAACTAGAAAAAAAAAACTGTCCTTTGCAAAGACTCTTATTTTTATCCTCATGGATTTCAACGACTCAAAAACCAACTCTCCTTCCTCTTCTAAAAACAAAAGAAAGCAACAGCAACCTCAGCAGCAGCAGCAACAAGAGATAAGATTCTTGGGAGTAAGGAGGAGGCCATGGGGCAGATATGCAGCGGAGATTAGAGACCCTTCCACAAAAGAAAGGCATTGGCTCGGCACCTTCGACACTGCCGAGGAAGCTGCCTTAGCCTACGACCGTGCTGCTCGCTCCATGCGTGGCTCCAAGGTTCGAACCAACTTCGTTTATTCGGATATGCCAGTCGGCTCATCGGTCACCTCCATCATTTCCCCCGACGAAACACAGCATAACTTGTCGTCGATTTTCCCCATTAATCCACCTTTTCACCAACAAATGGACAGTAACCAGAACCAGCTTTTCTTCAACCAAGACCCTTTCAATGCCTGCCACTTCTCCTCCGGATTATTACCAGCCGGAAACAGGTGGAACCAAGAGAGCAGTGATTCATTAGTGTCTTACACACCCATTACCGGTGTCATGGAAGCCAGAAACGGTGGTTCTCAACAGTTCAGCGATGACTGTGAGCTGCCACCTTTGCCTCCAGATGTCTCTTCCACTTGTTACGCATCTGGAGTTACGGGTTCAGATATGAGTTATTCTTACGGTGAGTGGAGTGACTCGGGCCTTCTCGGGTTTGATTCAGGAGTGAGTGAACCATTCTTGGGATTTAACTCGTACGAGTTGATGATGCCATCGGTTTCCGAAACGGTAACCGAGGGATTTAATTTGGGTTCATCTTCATCATCATCATCGGGTTACTTCATTTAGTAGCTAGCTTCCACAATAACAAATGATAAATTGCAACTACAAGTCTACAACTTCCGTCTTATGTTATTAAAGAAGAAGAAGGTGTTGGTTTAGTTTTAAGATTTTGCTGTAATGGATTTGCGTATTTTAATGATTTTGGTGGTACTTAAGTACCGGTTTCTTTGGTTGTTGTTGGATTTGGGAGGAAATGGTCCTGCTTCCAAGCCTTCTTTTGTGGTTCATGTCATGCCTTTTTGGTCAAAGTTGCTTTTTTTATTTGTAAATGTAAAATGTTTAATCACACCACTATAAGCCGCTACAGTGTTTTTTCCTTTTGTTTATTTTTTAATGGATCTACCCTGTTCTTAATTAGGCATGTGCTGTAATGTGTGATGAGACTTCGTAGACGAAAACATAGTCAATACATAATGAAAATTAATTATAATTTTATAAAAGATAATATTAAGCATGGTTCAACTTCTCTAATCCATCTCCTTCACAATGATTCCACTATTGAAACTTAAGCCAAGGATGAGTAGAGATAGAACCCATTAAATGATCTTAGTAGTAGGAGAGAATGTTGATCTGAGTTCGAGTATTGATTTATAAGGTGTATGTATGTTCTCCTTCAACAACATTTCCTTTTTCCCATTCTGTTCCATCTCTTCACCGATTCTTATCTCCTCCGTCAAAATCGATTTCCATGCCGGATTCTTCAAATTGTTCCATCTTCCTTAGTTAGCCCATCTCAACATACTGACCCTCACCCCTCAACCACCATATCAAATAGAATTGTGGGTATGATCTAAAGCTCAGAACTTCAGCCATTTGCATGGAAGTAATAAATAAAATAATCTTTTGTAATAATGAGTGTCCAAGTGCCGTTTGAGTTGCCCTGGTGCTGGCGTCTCTTAAAGTAATAGCATTGTTAAATCCATGAATTCGTCCAAAGACAATTTCTTGACGACTTTAAGATGCTCTATCACTACTTCTATGAATGATTAACAAATTTTTTTTTGGGATGTCAAGCTCATTCAAATCAAATTTTAAAAGCCAAGCAACAATCAAGAATAACAAATGCAAACATGCCAGTTTGTGATGCGTGGATCATGGAAGCAGGTAGATACGATTCCATCTTAATACAAGGCAAAATTCTCTCTTTATTTGGATTTCTCCTTTGTCAATGGCATCACCTATCATTTTTATTTCTTTTATTTCTCGTGTCTGCTTTACGATTTATGTATCGAAAGATGTTGCCATCAGAGAGTTCTAAATCCGGGTTAATTTTGAATACATGGACCATGGTCTTCAATCGTGGTTGGTACGATTTTCTTCTTCTTTGTCTGCTACCTTGTATGATCATATATTATACCAGCTTCCTGTTTGCATTGATCAGTGTCAAGTGCAGCTAAACAAGTCAAACTTTATGCAGGATTTCGAAGAAGACGGACATCACGGCACAGTCATCTCGCAGTCGTCTACAGAGAGTCCAAATCCTCTTGAACATCCTATCACGACAGGTTCGAAGAGGAAAAGAAATCTTCCGAGGGATCCAGGCGAGCGTGCATATCATATCTTTATCTTTGATTCATAAACTTCCAAATTTTAATCACCGAGTTAATTTTTGGTCTACGGAAAATTTTCAGATCTGGATGCGGAGGTTGTAGCGCTGTCACCGAGGACTCTAATGGCGACCAATAGGTACATATGTGAAGTCTGTCATAAAGGGTTTCAACGAGAACAGAACCTTCAGCTGCATAGGAGAGGACATAACTTGCCTCGGAAGCTAAAGCAAAGAACAAACACTGAGGTGAAGGGAAGGGTTTATGTATGTCCCGAGCCGAATTGTGTTCATCATCATCCGAGCCGGGGTCTAGGCGACTTGACTGGCATTAAGAAGCACTTCTGCCGGAAGCATGGAGAAAAGAAATGGAAGTGTGAAAAATGCTCTAAGAAATATGCTGTTCAATCAGATTGGAAGGCACACGCAAAGATCTGTGGCACCCGAGAATATCGTTGCGACTGTGGCACGATCTTTTCGAGGTATGTAGCATATTAATCCGTAAGTGATTCGAGGGTGTTACGATTATTTTTTTTCAATCCATTTGTTTTTCTCAGGAAGGACAGCTCCGTCGCACACAGAGCCTTCTGCAATGCATTAACAAAGACAATGGCTAGTTATGGTTCATGCTCCTATGCCAATGCAAATACGAATCTGTCAATTTCTTATGAGAATATGGGACATTCACAGTCATCACAGGGGATATTGTCTTTGAATTCGGCCAGAATCATGAACATGTCCAGCAACTTAAATCAAAATTTCAGTCCAGGAACATTCCTGGCTTCCGCTCTTGCAATATGGTCCGCTCATACATCTGCAACGGCCTTGTTACAGAAAGCCGCAGAAATGGGTGCTAAGATCAGTGACACTACAATCCCCCCGATACTACTCCGAGGTTTAACCAGATATTGCACCAGTAACACCACCTCAACCGTGTCGCTCCAGGTTCTTCCATGGTTGGTAGTAACATAGAAACAAATGGCCCCTATCTGGGAGAGGAAACATATAACGAAAGATCCCACAATACTCTTGCTCCGACTGCATTGTTCCATACTCAATTTCGACAGTCAGAGAATGGAAATTATGCAAATCTGTCGGGAGAAGTGTACGTGGAAGGTGGCGAGAAGACGACGGTCGATTTCTTAGGCGTCGAGCCAACAGGGCACCAGAATGTGGATAGCGAAAGAAGCCATGACGGGAACATAATGAACTTGGGGTACTCCAATGAGCAGCAGCAAAGCCTGAACAATTTGGGTGCAAACTAGTACAAAAGAATTAAAGAAAACCATGATTTCTTCCAGTGATAATTTCTTTAGTTTAACCTTGAAACCATGTTCCATTCAGCAGCCAACGTATTAATGTATCAGGGGAGACTTATCTCTTACTTTTACTGTTTTACTTGAAAAGGAAGGTAACCGAGCAGCACACTTGACCCCTAAGCCAAAAGCTCCATTTGAAAACCTGAATTTAAATTAAACATTTTTGGTTTTAATTATTAAATCAAAATTAGCAAAACTGAGTTCATATCCAACTTTATCAAATCTAGAATTTGAAATTTACTTTAGAACTTGGAATTTTTAATCTTACAAATAAATAGTTGATATTTCAAATCTTAAAAATTTCTTAATTTTCAAGTCTAGGTTTAGGGCAATCTTTCACACACTCATTTGGTTTAGTAATTATCAAAATAACGTGTGAAACAATTCTGAAGTTTAATAACAATTCATAAATATACGAAACTAACATATCACAATCATTCTTAAAATAAGAAATTTAACTATATATAATTAATTTTAAAAACGAAAAAATAACATTCTAAAAAATTATAAAAAAATTAACGCATTGCTCACGGACTTATCATATGGATTTGGATCTTACTCTACTCGACTCGTTGAAATTTCGAATCGAGTTTGAGTTTATGTCGAAATAACCCGAATTGCACTTTAATCAAATTTTGATCGAATCGAATTTAAACTGCTCGAGAGTTGCTCAACTCAGTTAGCACCCCTATTTACATGGAATATATACCCAAACTCATCTTCATGTCCAGAGGAGAATAAATTCGTGTTGATCAGTCGGCTTTTATTCCCCCACTAGAACTTGATTCTGTCCTTTTAAGCCTTTGCTGGCAAAAAGAAGGAGATGATAAGCAGAAACCGAAATGCCCAATCCTGATTTAACTGTTCTGGTCCTCGACCTTTCTCCTTCAGTAACTCTCGGAGACCTCAATGCATATTTCTCTAACTGTGGCCATGTCGAGAAAATCCAGCTTCTGGGGTAATTCATTCAAACTTCAACACCTTCACCAACTCTTCCAATCTTAATTTTGTTTGTTTGTTTGTTTGTTTGAGCAGTGGGAATAGAGACCAATCACAGTCAGCTCTGATATCTTTTAGGCAGCCATATGCTTATCAAACAGCTCTTCTCCTTAATGTAAGAAAACAATTACATTCAAAGTTTCATTCGTTTGTGTTTGATCGTGTGTGGCGTTCCACTTGGTTTGCAGAATGCTATTTTCGCAGGCCGACAAATTCGAGTCCTGCCGAAGAAGGAAGTCACTGATCTTCCGGTCTCGTACAGAACAATTCCTATTGTTTCCGAGGTAATTTCCTTTCCCTGTGGCCAAAGAAGTTAACTGTCTCTATTTGCATCCTTATGCATTCGACACTGCTACATTTAGAACAACAGGACCCGAGCAAGCATTCGAGCCGTGGCGGATGCGATAGCTTCCGAAGGGGTCGAAGCGTTGCACCAGACGAGAGATGCACTCGAGCAAAAGTTCAAATTATCGGAGAAAAGTCGAGTGGTGATGGACAAAACCAGGGTGGCAGTGCATGCGGCTGATCAGGCGATTTCCGCGGCGGAGGAAGCGGCGAGAGACGTGGCCAACAGGATCAAGAACACTAACTATGTTGCGGTTGGTGCTACTTGGTTCTCTGGTGTGCTTCAGAAAACATCCAAACTTGTCTTAGAGCATGGCAATAGGAAGGGCCATAGCGCCAAGTCTAGGGATCATATATGAGTTTCTTTTGCATCATTTTAAGTACTATATGCTATATCATTGACCTCTAATGGAAGGACGTGATCGTTAAACAATTATGTGATAACATTTGTTCAAAAAATATATATTATTCATTAAAAACATATATATTTACACTTTATTGATGCGACTGATCTGACTTAAAGTTGTTGATATTGTGATGGAATTAACATTTTGTACATGGGCAGTCGGCAGTGTAAGTACTCCATCTCCTTGCGTCCTGGTTATATGAGTAGAAGGCTGATTGTTGATCACGTAAGGCCCAACAAGTGTCACAATAAGTGCAATGTGGCTGGAATCCTCTCCCTTTCCCTCTTCTATTATCACCTGGCTAAGTTTATGTATAGTCGCATATTCAGAAATGTTTTTCAGGGTAGGTATGCATATATTAATAATAATTTTTTATAAACGGGATAAAAGTAAATAAAATTTCAAGGCGCGGATGGTAATTCGTACTTTAACTGAGCTGGTGCCACGTAATGATACGCGCGGATCGTCATTCACACCTTAGCATTTTTAAAAAAATATATACTTTAAAAAATTAAGAAAATAAAACTATAGGGATTAACATCGTAATTTAATATATATTAGTTCCATGAATTGAAAAGTTTAATGGAGTTAGTTTATATAAATATATTGAAATATTTAAATTATGTTTCTCGACAATGTAGAATAAAAACTAAAATGTATATTTCTTGACAATATATTTAAATTATATTTTCATGAGTTACTTTCGATCGTTTTTATTACATTTTTATTTTAATTATATATATATAAACGTAATAAGAAACTGATAAATTATTATTTGTTTAATTTTAAAATTACCTTACATCAATCCAAAAAAATAAAAGTATAAAAATAATTGGAAAAGATAAGTTAGTTCAAATATATCGAAACTCAAAACATCACATCAATTATGGTAAAATAATAAATCAATAAATTGCAAATCAATTGGATTAAATTGAATTGATTGATACCCTGAGAAGAAAAGCTGTAAAAAGTTTCTCATTGCATGTAGATAAATATAAACAGTTAAGCCTTTTGTTGTACCCTTTTCTCGTGGTTGCCTTTGCTTATCTAGAGATGTATTTAGGATGGTAGTATGACTAAAACCTGACGGAAAATTTGAAATCTGGTCAAGTTTAGGTTGGGTCGGTTTAAATGATATCAGGTCGAGTTCGGAGATTTTTTCGGGTCGGATTTAGATTCGAGATAAGGTATCCCGCCCTGACTCACCTCGATTATATATATATATATATATATAATATTTTATATATTTTATATATAAAATATTTTTGAATTTAGGTTTGGGTTTAAATATAATATTTCAGGTCAGATTCGAGGACGGACAAATAAAATTTCTTATGAAACACTCCGATAAAAAATTCGTCAGATCAAGTCGAGGTCGAGGATGAAAATTCATTTTGAATTCGGGGACGGAGCGAGCAAAACCCGCCGCGAACCCGTCCCGTTGCCATTATTAGATGCATTGGACCCTCGCTGCCCTTCAGTTTCACCCTCCAAAGCAATTGCATGTATCCTTTGTACCCTGTACCGTTCCTCTTCATTCCAACCAAAATCTCTTCCATCTCTTCTCTTTAGGTAAATATTATTTCTTCCTTTTCCCTGTTTGTTTTCTCAGTCTTATTCTTCTGTTAAATATTTTTTTCCGAAGTTGGAACTTTTTTTATGTTATTTAAGGGATCAAACGTGTAACCCATGTTTCTTTCTTTCCTTTAAGTCATCCCTTTGACTTGCTTCTTTTTCTTTCTTTCAATTTCTGGGTGGGGTGGGGGGGTTTCGTATTCAATTTGGGGAAGTATTTGTTCGATTTTAGGGTTTTGAGTAGGATTGAAACTGTTGAAACTCGGCGGATTGGGGATCACTGCGGAAAAGGATTTGTTTTTATTAACGCTCCCACCATTACAAGTTTGTCTTCAGTTTTTGGGATTCTTTTCTTTATTTAAGTGCATATATATGTGATCTTGTGTTGAGGTTATTCAAGGTTTGAAATTCTTGGATTTGTTAGGTTTTTTGATTTTGTCCATTGTGGTTCAATAGGGTTTTGGTGTTGAGGGACAATGCAGAATAATTCATCAAAGAGAAAATGTACATCTGCCTCTCACCAGTTGATGGTGGGCAATGCCAAGAACAGGCTAAATTTTCTCCAAGAACAGTTCACCGGTCTTCAAGCCGCTAGGAAGGAAGGTCGAGCCGGTGATGTTGCGGTGTTAGAGGGCAAGTTTATCAGAACCTTCGTGAGTGGAAAGCTGAGCTCTGCACACCATCCCCGGCATCGTCTTTATTGGTTTGTTTCTTTCTATTTTATCAACGCTAACTTAAACTCTTTGCATCAATGTACCCTTAAATAAAATGGGGACAATCTTTGGTTTTGTACTCAGTGGATGTATTTTATGTGCCTAAGCAAAAAAGAGACTTTGGTGAACTTTATTTAGGGCAATCTTCAATCATTTTCTGATGATATAAACCGATTGTTGCAAATTTACGAGGAGGAAGATGATGCCACAAGTGCATTAAAGGGACCACCGGTGCTGAAGCCTGAGGTTGATGATCAAAGCTTAAATCCCGGTAATTTACCTCTAATTCCAGAGGTGAGAGCTTTTTCCACAATTCTGATTTCAATATGGATAAGAATTAATTCTTTTGTTTTACCTTTTTCCCTCCATATTTTTTCCTAAAGCACCATTACGCTGAAAAGAAAGGAAATTATATATAAACTATAATTTTTGTCAAGTTTTTATGTTTGGGTTTACCCTATAATATATTTCTTTACTGTTTGCTATATATAAATATATATTTATATAGTTCTTTATAAAGAAAAGGTGGATGGAGCTATCATAGACTGGTGAAACACTAGAAAGTCTAGGTGCCACTAGTGTAATTTCATTTGATAAACCCATTATTGTTGAATATGAACTTGGTTGGTATGAGTGTTTCTTAATTGTGTTTCTGAGACCATTTTTACTTTTGTATGTGCAAAGTGCACCATATATAAGAAACAGTTATATATTCTTTTTGGTATTAAGCTATTAGCTCTTGCATGTTGATTTATTTCTCGTAATGCTAACCATTTTATATCAAAGGTAAATTGGGTGATGGTTGCTTTGGTTTTTGATATTTAGAAGAGCATAAGTAAAATTCTTAGTGTTCGTACTTGTTTGAAGTGAAAGTATGCTATATTGATTTGTTTGACAGGCTCATTGTTTTAGCTCCCTAAGCATAAAACATAGAAATGACTACATGTCGTTTTCTTGATTTGAACTCTGCATCAATTTCTCCCCCTCCCTCTTTCTAGTCCTCCTAATTTTGTTCTGACCATATTTGGTTAGTTTTGTGAGTTTCCAGTAGTTTATTGCTCATCCTTTGCGCGAAATTTGACTGGATTTGACACACATTTTCTTTCTCAGGACTATTATGTGAATCATGAGCTGCAAGAACAATCATTTCAAGGGTTTGATTTATGTAAAGTTTCTACCTCAGCTAATGCTGACATGAATTATCAATTGGATCATACATTTTATTTACAACAAGAATTTGACCATGGGCTTCCCATTGTTGCCAATGCGACTGAAGATTATGTGAAGGATGCTAGCCCCAACATACTGTCAAATATTGCTCCTCCACCATCTGCTTTCATGGGGCCGAAGTGTGCTCTCTGGGATTGTACAAGGCCTGCCCAAGGATCTGACTGGTATCATCACTACTGTAGCAGTTTTCATGCTACTCTAGCTGTGAATGAAGACCCCCCTGGCACAACTCCAATTCTACGTCCTGGTGGAACTAGCTTAAAGGATAATTTACTACTTGATGCAGTTCGAGCAAAAGCACAGGGAAAGAATGTTGGCATCCCTCAATGTGAAGGTGCTGCTACCATGAAATCACCTTGGAATGCAACAGGTAAAATAACATGTCTTTCTCTTTCTTCAGTAAAAGATAAAATAAAATGATAACAAGAACATTATTGTTTGACTTGGAAGTATGGTATATAATGTGGTATGATGTGGTTTGCGGCTACTTATTTGAAATAGTGTCTGGTTTCTCTGTATTTGACTTTGACAATAAAAAACATGCCCTCTCTTGTCCGTTTTCTTGCTATCCATGTCTTGTAACAAAGCCCATCTCTTGCATTGTAGAGCTTTTTGACCTTTCTTTACTTGAGGGTGAAATAATCAGGGAGTGGCTCTTCTTTGATAAGCCTAGGAGGGCATTTGAGAGTGGAAACAGAAAGCAGAGGTCGTTACCAGATTACTTTGGACGTGGTTGGCATGAATCAAGGAAGCAGGTGATGAAGGAATTTGAGGGCCAGAAGAGGTCATACTACATGGACCCTCAACCTGCTGGGAAATATGAATGGCACTTGTTTGAATATGAGATCTATGGCTGTGATGCTTTCGCTTTATATAGACTGGAGCTCAAGCTTGTCAATCAAAAGAAAAGTCCAAAAGTGAAAGTTCCCAAGGATTCGCTTGCCGATCTGCAGAAGAAAATGGGAAGGCTTACTGCTGAAGTTCCTGGAGATGGCAAATCAGCTGGTAAGGGCAAAATGAAGGTCAACAAGAAAGCTGCCGCAGAAAATGCTGATTCTTCTCAAGACGGGCAAGCTTGACTGACTTATGGTTCTAATGTTCTGAACTGAAGAAAATTGACTAGTTTGTTGTGCATTTGGAACCTAATGTCAAGCTTGCTGTAGTTGGTCCATAGATAGAGATCAAATATTGCGAAGCCATTTTCTGAAATTACTTTTCCTTTAAATCCTTCTTTGGTTGCTGCTCGGTGGCGTCTATTCTACAAGGGGGCATCTGGTGCATCACTCCATAAACTAGAATATGGAATATACTGTCTAACTTCTTATAGATGGTGTTTCGTGTACAGGGTAAGCTATAACTTCTATCATATTGAACTCGGGAGGTAAATGTTAATTGTAGATGAAAGTTCTATAGGGAAACATATTGAATTCTCCCTATCGGTGCTGCATTGTTTTATCTTCCTAATGCTATCTGGTCTTTTAAGTTAGTCTAATCTGGTGCTTGTTTGGACTTCCAACTTCTAAGTTTCTTCCTTTTAAGTTGTATGCTTACTGGTAATTAGCATAAGACAATATAATTGCCTTAAACGAACGGTGGTGCATTTACATGAAAGTGATAAGCCAGTTGTAAGATAATGTTAAAGGTTAAGATTTAGGGTTTAGCTGAGAGGCCACCCTTCACCATTATCTGAGAGGCCACCCTTCACCAGTTGTAAGATAATGTTAAAGGTTAAGATTTAGGGTTTATCTGAGAGGCCACCCTTTAGGGTCAAAACCATGTGAACATTCGATGTTCAGAACAAAAATCGGACTCGTTGCAAAGAAGCATCGAACATCTTATGAAATTGAAAGGATCTTTCAAAGTACATCCAAGACAACAAGGAAAGTGGCAACATTTAAGCCCCTCCATAACAACAGAAAAAGTGGTTGAACATAAAAACAACACAACTGAATCCTACACTCCATATGAACTAATCAGCTATATTTCTGAGCTCTCAAGGGAGTTTTGGTCCACAACCTTTTTCATTATTTTAGAGAACTCATAATGGTCCTGTCATTTGAGTTCTAGAATAACTCAAAACATTCAAAGATGGCAGCCGTTCACAGTAAAGCATCCATCTACGACTTCAAGGAAGTTACAAGTTCTTCACAGCAATTCTGCAAAACGGTATTCATTTAGTTGGCAGTCTAAAGCCACATGTACCAACAGACGTGATAACTCGATTCGAAGGCTAAATGTAGGAGAAAATCGGAAAACAAAAAGTACAATGTAATGAAAGAAAGCGGAAATTAGAAACCTGAACAAGTTCAACACATTTTTAATTGCACAGAATGGGAAGGACGCCAAATCCAGAAATTAGTAGAAAGAAAGTGGGTGAACATGAAATAAAAATCCGTTCCAGTTCCAAGCACTATTAATGAACTCATTAAGCGGCATAGAACCTCATAAGCAGTTTCCATAGAAACAGTACGTATAAAAATACAATGTACTCACGATTATACTCATGTTTAAATGATAAAAATATATATAACAAGCACATGACCAACAGAACCTACCATCTTCCCACTTTTCATGGTAAGAAAAAGTGAACTGAGCTTTCAGCAACTCCATCAAACACTTGAGCATTCTACCGCTCATATATTTCAAAAACATCTCGACCAAAAGGCTTTGTAGCATGTTCAGCAAAATCGTTTTTAGATGTACACTCTATGTTCAATTCTGACCAATGATTAAGGAAAAGGAGACAACAAACTTTTCCTTTAGAAAAACTCCAATAATTTCTTGTCTGTTTCAGCCAGCAAGTCAAAGATAAGCTATAGAACTTTATACACGAGAATTTGCACACTCGCAATGAAATAGTCAGACTCATAAGAGAAATCATCATCATTATTATTTTTCTCTCGTCATTCATGTTCGTTTTACGATCCATGTTTGTAGTTTATGGCTACTGCTCCAAGGATATCGTCGCAATGTTCGTTTTACGACCCATGTTTGTGATTTTATGACTTGAAAATGCTCCAATTAGCCCTTAGAATGCAATCCCAAGGAATCAATTTTGACAAACAACAATAACCCAATCCGTTTCAGTCATAGTTAAAGGTATACACTGCCCTGGTTGCTTACTTTATTGTTGATTCAAACTAGAGATGAGTCCAGAGATCAAGTCGATGTTCACAAGTACAAAACTAAATCAGAACAAATAATGAAATCAGGAGGAGAAATGAAACATACCATCCACTAGAACTAGGGCGGTTTCCGCTGGATCTGGGACGAGGAATCAACCCCAAATCTGAATCACCGCCTCTTTTGACCTTCTCGTAGCCGCCTGATTTGGGTCGCCTATCTTCACCATAGTGAGCCGACGAGCCAAAATGCTTTACCCCCTGTTCTCTCCCTCGCAAGACTTTGGGTTTGGGTTTCTCCTCTTTCCCCGCAAAACCCGGCCTCAGATGAGGCGGCACGAATCGACCTGATTTAATAGATCCAGAAACGGTCACACCATCCTTCTCCTTCTTCTCCGGAGCGGAAACCGAAATCCCAGAACCGGGTCGCAAAGAAATCTGATCAGAAGACGGCGGGTGATCCGGGACTGAAGCAGAACGAGGTTGTGGCTGTTTGGGAAGCACCGGAGAAACGACGGGAGGATTCGAAAGAGGCTTCGGGGAAGGACGGGTCAGGACGAGCATGCGGCCACGGGTGGCGGATGAATATGAAGCAAAAGAGGAGTGGCTTTGGTGATTGGTATGGGGATTCTTGTGGGAACCAGAAGAAGAAGAAGAGGGAGTCAGATTCTTCTCGATGACATGATTGAAATTAATAGAGGTATATTTGTTGGTTCTTGCCATCCACCACTATCTCCGCCAACTTCTTCACCTCTTCGTTTCGTTTATAATTTTGATACAACCCAAATCTCACACGGAAAGTCTCTTTTTTTTCTTTTGGATAAAATGAAAGGTGGTGTTTTTATATATATTTATTCTTTTTGAAAGCATGTCTGTGGGCTGACATTCTACTGAGCTGAGGGCACTAGCGACGCCGATGTAGTTCGGGCCGACGAGGAAGGCATTTTTACGTACCCAAAGAATCAATAATTATCACTCAGTCATTCATAGATAAAATTTTATCGATCTGACACTTATTTGTTGATATTGATGGAAGACATGGATCATAACGCGTAGTTTTTAGATTTTTGTCCTAACTTACGTCACGTGAGCAAAACGCAGATCACTATGTGTGCCTTCATGGTAAAATTGACACGCGGTGGAGGGCATGGATCACCATCCATACATTCTATTATTCATCTTGAATTATTGGATACTCCATTATTACTCGATCCTTTAAATTCGGCGACTCATCCATCTCCGTACTCTGTAAATACCTCAGAATGCAAATATCAAAACACACTAAAATTATTTTTACATTCTTCCTTATATCAATTCTTTCTATCAAGTTAAGTAGATTTTGTTATATTTGTTAGAAGATAAAATTATTTTTTTATTATATTATATTTATTTTATATTTAATTATTTGATCAAAAAATTTTGTACTAACTATTTCGTATTATTTTTTACGGTTGTAAAGTTGAAGACGGGATCAAATCTCAAGAAATTTTGTTAATACAGTAACAATATTAAATTGTGTTATTTAATTTACTGCGAATTTTTTTAATTTTTTTAGCATTAGTTTATATTTTAATTCATATACTATTTATTTAATTAGGCGTATTTAAGCTATTGTTTTTGCAGATATAATACTCTCAATCTTTCAAACTCTTAAAATGAGGCATATTTCAGCTAATTTTTTACTATGATGGAGAAATTCGGAAAGATGAAATCGGTGTTGTCTTCGCATCAAATTATTTTGTCAGAATATCCTTAAAGAGAAATATCATTCTTGATGAGTTGATCACTAAAATTTCAAGGTTTATGTTGGAAGTACTAGAAGACTGTCATCACTTTAGTATAGATTTTCAATCGCAGTATTTCTGTTAACATATACAGCGCTCGAACTCTCCAACGATGACGATGTTGCTATGATGGTTGATTCTCAGAATCAAAATTCAGAAGCAGATACAAAAATGTATTTGATATTTGTTGAAGTGTCTGCGGTTCGTGGTATGTCATTATGCTCTTACTATGGGCTGACTCAACAAGTTGATCAAATTGACAGCCCAACTCAAGTAATGTGTAATGATTTTAACGACGTATTTTCGTTTGAGAGCGTTTTTTGCCAACCTCGGGGGACAAGCTGAAACTTGGATGCAAAACAGTCATGTTTATCACCCAAGATTAATTGCAGATCTACAAAAAAAAAAAGAATTGTTGCTTTAAATGGAATGTTTGTAATAAACTTTTCTTGAACCCATAAATTAATTCGTGTCATAGAAATACCACAACCCCTTTAAGGGATTAAAGCTAACTCGTTCAGAGTTAATCTATAAGACAGATGATGTGACTGTGGGTTTTTTCAAACTCTAAAGTATTCATGCTCCCATGTCATAGCAGCTTGTTCTTATACCCGTCAAGACTATAATCGTTTTGTGGATTTAGTACACCGACTTTCAAAAGTATTTAAGGTATATGAATTTGAGTTCCCCATAAGTAATGAGAAAGATCCAGATGAGGTTCAGAATTGACTTTCGATTGTACAAGATACATCCTTATTCGATTCATTGTTTCTTAATTATGCAAACAAGTTATGTTGCACGTGATGAAACACGCTCACATAGTAGGGATCAGTTTCATTTTGAGACATGTTGGGCTACTAAACCTGATTGCAAGCAAAACGTGGAATCCGCGTGGAAGCATACTCTTGGTCTGACACTTAGTAAAATGGAGGCCATTGGTGATATGCTACATCACTGGCAACACACACAATTTGCTAGGATTAAGAAACGGATTGCACAGCTTCGACGTATTATTAATGGTACCATGAACTGTTAAGTATCTCGGTTTAACTCCTCTAAATTAATTAAGGCCAAAGGTGAGTTACAGGACCTCCTTGATAAGGAGGAACAATACTGGGCACAACGATCCCGAGTTAATTGGTTAACATAAGGAGATTGAAATACGATTTTTTCCCATGCTGGATCAACACAATGATAGAAGAAGAATCGTATTCAGGGTTTGTATGACGATGATGATAATTGGACCCAGTTAAAAACTGGTATTACAAATACGGTTGTGAATTACTTTTGGAATTTATTCAGTACAAATGATATACACCCAAATGAAGATGTAATCAATACTATTGAATTAGTCGTTACATCGGAAATGAATTATAGAGTTGACTAAGGATTACACTATTGAAGAATTGACCATGGCTTTCCAGGGCATTAACCCCAGCAAGGCTCCTGGTCATGATGGTTTACCGGCTAGTTTTTTCCGGTAACACTGGGATTTAATTGGGACATACATTGTCACACTTTGCCTTGATCTATTGACCATGAAGCATGACATGGCTTCGGTTAATAAGACAATTCTGGTCCTGATTCTCAAAGTTGAAAATGTGACACACATGAAACAAATTAGGCCTATCAATTTATGCACAGTGGTGTATAAGATATTTTCTAAAGTCATAGTTGATAAATTGAAACAGGTAATGAGTTGATGTATTAGTGATAACCAAGCGGCCTTTCTTCCAGGGCGCCAAATATCAGATAATATTTTGGTAGCACATGAACTAATTTTTTTTTTATCTTAATTCTTTCAGAAATGGGTTTAATAAGTGTGTTGCGCTGAAGATGGATATCGAGAAGGCTTATGATAGAGTGGAATGATCATTCTTGCTTAGTGTAATGCTCAAATTGGGATTCCATCACATGTTTATTCAGTTGATCATGTGTTGTGTTACCTCGGTCTCATTTGAAACCTGAGTTAATGGCTCACCGTCACAGGAATTCTTTCCCACTAGATGCCTTAGACAGGGGGACCCCTATCCCCATTCCTTTTTGTTTGTTACTCAAGTTATGTCTTCATTGTTCCATAAGGCCCAACGAGATAGGACTATTAAGGGCGTACTAGCATTTCAGAATGGCCCGAGGGTGTCCCATTTTTTGTTTACGAATGATAGTCTAGTTTTCCTCAAGAATTCGACAAGAGAGACACAGAGTATTAAAGAGATTTTAAAAGTATATGCCCGCTCTTCGGGACAACGAATTAATTTGGTAAAGTCAATGATTTACTTTAGTCTGAATACATTACAGAATCACTGAATGTTAATGAGGGATATTTTTGGGATCCAGGTAGTGGATGATTTGGGGCATTACTTAGGTCTTCCACTTCACATAGGAAAGAATAAGACAAGGACCTTTAGTTATCTACGAGATAAAGTATTAATTAGGGTAACAGGGTGGACAAGGAGACTGCTTTCTTATGGGGGTCGTGAGGTATTTATTAAGGTAGTGGTTCAAGCTTTGCCAAAATATGTTATGTCATGCTACTTACTGCCGAACCATTTTCTGACAGAAATCACATGTATAATGTGTCGGTTTTGGTAGTCTGGTTCGACTGATAAAAGATGTTGGGTTTTTCTGTCTTGGGACAATATTTACAAACTAAAACGGGTAGGCATATTAGGTTTTAGAGATCTTAAATCCTTCAATGTTGCTATGCTAGGGAAACAATTGTGGAGATTGATTAACGAGCCAGAAACTTTGTTTGCACGGGTTTATCGGGCTAAGTACTTTTCGAATGGTGACTTGTTACATGCTAAATCCTATGCATGAAAGGGATTATTTAAAAATCTATAGGAATTGACACCTGCCTTCTTTTGACGAGTTGGGTGTAAGTGAGGTTCATTTGTTTTGAGGATCCATAGGGTGGGATGAAACAGACAAACATGTCAAGTACCTACACCGTCTCTCAGCAGAGGGACATCTGTTATGGTGATCTCATATTTAGAGATCAACCACAGTGGGATCCAACCAAGTTTTCTAACACCTTAGTCGAAGAAAGTGATGTAGAAACAATTTTATAGACGCCAATAGCACCATGTACGACTGACAAGATAGTATGGGGCAACCATTCCTCTGGTAATTATTCAGTGAGATCCTCCTATTGGTGGCTACAACCACGACATCGACCCACATTTTCCATTGTATAAAACAATTGCAAAACTAAAATTGCTTCTAAAAGTAACTATTTTTATTTGACGGTTAGCACATACGACATTATACGAAGTGCAGGTTTGGGTGAGGGAGTCTGCCCTTTGTGTTCGTCAGTTATAGAGACAACATTACACATGTTCAGAGATTATTCGTATGTACAATAAGTCCTAAGACTGGTTGGTATTCCATGTATATTCTATTTTAGTCTATTTTAGTCTTGTTAGAAAATGCATATGCTACGCTTGGTTTGGTTCCTTTTGTAGAGCTTATTGTCTTGCTTTGGAATGTTTGGAATAGCCATAATTCTTTGGTGCGCGAGGGCAGAATGCAACCCATTTGGCTAATTGTAACTAATGTTAAGGCGTTGCATCAAGAGTTTATTGGGGCACATCGAGGACAACCTTCTCAACATGATGTTGCTGATGTGGTTGCTCGATGGCGTCTTCCCCGAGGACAAGCGATTAAGTTGAATGAGGATGGTGCCTATAATATGTCACTCCAGTTGGCAATAGTTGGGGTTATTGCGCGCAACGCACAAGAAATGATCCTTGGTGGTTTTTCTATGACTTCGGGTGAAATCCCTGAACCCGTCTTTACAGAACTAGCTTGTTTAGTTGCTACTATCAACCTTGCTTTACAGGAGGGGTGACGTGATATCCATATCGAACTAGTTCATCCACTGTAATCTATTGTTATAATAATCCAAATGGTAATTTTTCCACTATTGGTGTAACTATGGTTGATATTTGTACTAAATGTAACAACTTTGATAGTTTTTCTATTTCGTATATATCTAGATAAACAAATAAGTTTGCCCATACTTTAGC